CTGTCTTCAGCTAATTCATCATACAAGAGTATTTTAGAGAGTATGCTCATGCTAGTTTTACTTTGACAAATGACAAATGACAAATGACAATTCTTTATTGCACATAACATCTGTTAAAGTTATTACAAATGTAATACACAGACAGGTACATTGTCAAGGTTTCTAATAAATAAGGAAATCTAAATAGGTATAAAAAACCTAGGATTTAGCCAGTAAGTTACCCCTACAAAGCTACAGCATGGTGGAACTGTTTATGTTAGGAGAGGTTGATGAGAGATTGGGTGTCTGTTACCAGGAGTCGTTGAAAAATTCCTCAAGAGTGTAATATGCTTTTTCTACTAAAACTGTTTTGATTTTGTCTGTAAATTTTGCTAAGTTTAATTGCTTCAAGGAGTTTGGAATTTTATTGTAAATTTTTAACCCCATATAGAGAGGACTTGTTTCATATTTTTTTAAATTATGAGTTGGGTATTGAAAAATGTCTTGTCTTCGGGTATTATATGAGTGATTACTAAGATAATTTTGAAACATACCAGGATTTCCATGAACCATTTTTAAAATTTCAAAAACGTATATTGAAGTTAGAGTTAAAATTTTAAAATTTTGAAACAATTGTCTACATGATGTTTTTTTGGGGCAATTTGCAAGAGTTCTGATTATTGACTTTTGTTTTTTAAAAACTTTGTGGACATCTGTGGCTGTCCCCCATTATTTAATACCATAGCTTAAAATAGAGTACACATAAGCATAATAAACATTTTTACATACTTCCAAGGAGGTAATCTGAATTAAAACACTTAAAGCATATCTTGTTGGACTAAGTTTTTTGTTTAGAAAATTAATATGTTCTGTCCATTGTAGTTTACTATCCAAATATATCCCTAAAAACTTTACTACATTTGTGGGTGAGGCAGTAGTTTCTGTTCCAGTGGTTGAATTTCTCAATTTGAAAATTAAAACACTAGTTTTATCTTCATTCAAAAGTAAGCCATTTTTTAAAAACCAATTTGCTATTTCTCCAATTGTTTCTTTGACATCATCATGTAACATTTTTACAGTACTTCGTCTGATGAGAGCTGTTGTATCATCTGCATAAAGGGTAAAGTTACAGATTTGACTTGAAAAATGAAAAGGCAAATCATTAATATATGTGAGGAATAAGAGAGGACCTAGGATTGAACCTTGCGGAACTCCATAGTTATTATTTGCCCAAGAAGAGTATTTGTTCCCAGAGGCGGTTTTAATTACTGTTCTTTGTTTTCTATCGCTTAAGTAAGACTTCAAAAGTTCAATTATTTGTCCATGAAAACCAATTGCTGTAAGTTTTTTGATAAGAATTTTGTGATTAACACAATCAAAAGCCTTGGAAACTTACTTACTTATAGAAAGATTTAGTTTAGTAACAAGAAATAAATCACACGCCTTAAATACGCTGTATTATAATGTTACTGTAGCTGAATGCAACCTGTGCTGCTATTAACCTGTGATTTAATATTAATTCCTACAATCAAAACTAAAACAAAAAAGATTATTTTATTTATTTTAACATTTTGTTTTATTTATTTACAACATAAGAAATGTGTGACTAAAATAATGTGTTGGATTGCCAGGATAAAATGTCCATCATAATAAATTGAAATTCCACTGAAACTTAAATAATAAATGCCAAAATAAAACATGAGTTTCCTTTATATTGCTTATACAATGGAAATAAACTATACCGAGGCATGGCTCGGTCCCCCGGTACTAAATTAACAATGTAACTTACAATATTTGTTTCTGAAGAGAGTTGTAGAAGCTATTCAAGACAAGACCTTGACACATATGTTAGTATCGTTATTAGTTTTTATAGATACAGTAGAGTCCCGCAAACTCGGCACTCGATAACCCGGCAGTCTGTATAACTCGGCCATCACCTGGCTCAGAAAATTAGTGATTTTTTGAGTCAGAGTTAAACATGGACTCAAAACAAATCATTCGCAGCTCGTACCAAGGATTTGTTCTACTATATCTGATGACTTAATACTAACATAAATAAAAGAGGCAGTTAATAAGCTTAAAAATTGTGTTGTACTTATTTTTAACCCTAGTTCCCGATAACCCGGAATTTCACAAACTCGGCACCCTTCCAGTCCACATTACGCCGAGTTTGCGGGACTCTACTGTATTTACATAATTTTCAAATCAGTGGTTTAATGGATTATAACAAAACTTTTATATGACCTTTGATGCAATATAATTTTAACTGAACTGTGTAAAATTAAGGAAAGACATTGTGCTTCTCGTCAATCACACAAGTTTACCTTTGATATTAGCTCAGTACTATTAGGTAATCATAAAATCCTTATGGTGGGAATGTTGAGTGTTTTACAAATACTATTTCACATGATAAACATTTTGAGAGACTTTGCTTTTTAAGAGTATAGTGTTTAGGACAATAAATCAAATAAGAATGCAGCTGAAAATAAGTTTAATAAACCTTTTTAAATGTTTCCATACCTGTTTACTCAGCTGAAGCGTTTGTCTTTAAATTGGCATAGAGACCTTAACCAAGACTTCTTTGTAGCTACTTGGAACAGTTCTTTGAAAATGTTCTGGAACTTTTTTGAGTTGTAGATTTTGTTTACTAACTTTTCAAGATACTCCAGATAATCATCATTCTTCTCAAACTCAGATGCAGATTGCTGAATTTCAGTATAATCATCATTCTCCTCAAACTCAAATGTAAATTGCTGAATTTCAGTGGCTTTACTATCACTCCAGAAAAGATAGCATTCAAATGTTGATTCTGACTTTTTTACCATCTGAAACTTAAACGCTCTCATGTTAATTTTGATTTTAACATTTTTAACAGAATAATTAGGGGCTTCATCATTCCAATCAGCACAGCAATTAAAATTTACTCGACCTTTTTTTCTCTTCATGATGTAGAATTTAGGAAGTTTCAAAAGCACAGTGTCCAATTTAATGTTATCCAGGATTACCCCTTTGTCTGAATTAGAAACATCCCCTAGATAATTAATCATTTTAATTGATGCAGTCCACCCTAAAGTGCACCCACAAACATAAGTTGCTGGTGGTTTTTTGAACAATATTGAATAGGTATTTAACTCATAGGATGTTTTCTCATAGCCATCCTTAGGGACCAACGTTTGAAACTTATCTTTGAATTTTTGAAGAACATCTTCTTTCTTATTCTCAGACTCTGCGGTCACCAATTGTAGAAACACAGCCATTGTTAACATTGGGAAAACTAACATGTCCATGTCTAGCTCGTCCTATGTTGAATAATGTTATCATACATAAACACAATATTTCAGAGGACTATCCAACAGAAAACACTAATGTAAAATGAATGTTTACTGCCAAACTGTGCCATATGTTTTTAATGCTACACACCTGAGTAGATATTACACTACTTAGTTGATGTTGACTCTACTTTGAAGCAGTTACAATTTTTATGGATATTAATTTTTACCGAATTTTCCTTATAACCTAGCCTCTGGACTGATTCCAATTTCATTTTGAGGTCCTCAGAGGCTAAAAACCCAATAAATTCATATATATTATATTTGTTTATTTATATGTATAACTATATTTACTAGTTGTTCTGCCTGTGCTTTGCAACGGGGTAAGAATACTTAAGAGAATAATGTGGGTCACTAAAACTACAAAAAGTAAAACCAATCTAGTCTTTTTTTAACCCATTTGCATCGTCTTATTTATTTACCAAAAATACCAGTATCACTGAAGCAATAAAAAGAAAAAAATATATTCTACAATTTGTTATGATTTTAGCGAATTTCCCATATAGGGTATAAGCTATTACCGTAGTACTCATAGTAAGACCTGGACGCGGGACCGATTTTTTTTTCGTTTTGAGGTCCCTAGAGGCCTAAAACACCATCCGTTCAAATTCATATATATATATATATTTATATATTTTTATATATTTATATTTATATATACTAGCTGACCCGGCGAACTTCGTATCGCCTAAGTTATAGGTTTCCCCTAAGACAGACCGATGGAAAGAAAGTACCGTTACGTTTAATTTTCAAGATGATCTCGTTTGCATCGCTCAATCACGTCCTGGTTGGAGCTCGTTCGCTGCGCTCACTTGCCTTCAGGTTAGCTCGTTCGCTACGCTCACTCGCCTCCAGGTTGAAGTTCGTTCGCTACGCTCACTCACCTTTTGGTTGCAAATTAGCTGTTGTCATAAATGTAAAAGAAATAATAGTGCTGCACCCTGTTGGTAATCCTTGTAACTTTAATGCTATTGAACATCATAGAACAGAACCAACTTGTTTAATTGAAACAGCTGTTAAGATTCATTAATTCCATTTCTCATAAGGTTAACATGGGAAACTCGAGAGCCACTGGGGCGGAGCCCTTTTAAGAATTTCGAAACGGGAAATAGTTTACGTCCGATTCGCATACCTACAGAATTTACACACCAAATTTCATAACGATCGGTGAAGTCGTTCCGGAGGAGTTTGCAGACAAACACTGTGACACGGAATTTTATATATTAGATATATATGTGTCCGTTAGCACTATAACTTTTGCAAAAATGATCCGATTTTTATTTCTTACTAACTATTAACATTTTACAAAAAAAGAACAGTTTTACCCTCCCTGATGCAGCAAACCTAAGTACTTGTTAAACTAATTCTATTTAAATAGGGAATAAATGTTATATTTTTAAGTAGACATTTCAGTGTAAATCCAATCAGTCAAATGGAAATTCGCTTAGTCTGCAGGTTTGCTGCGGCGGAGGTATTATATTTTAATGTACCTTGATCCCTTTTACCCTGTTGGTCCTTCAAACCCATTATGTTTTTAAAGTTCTCTGATTAAAAGCATCCAAGTCCAGTTTCTAACCATCAAAGAGGAAAGGTTATAAATGAAAATAACAATTGTAAAATTCATACAAAATATATTTACAAGTATTTACAAATACTTTGTACGCTAATCAACAGTAGGCTATTTGACATCTAACATGATGGCTGTGTGATTCATTTCCTTTGATAGTATTTTGTATTAGATTATTGGTTTCGACATATCTTAGAAATGGATGAATTACTCATTTCAAATTATTTAAGGTGTTTCACCTTCTTACTGTTTCCTAAACACTTCCCCCAAATTCCCTAACTGTTTGCACATTGATTACAAATGTCATATTGACAGTTTTAGTTTTGTGAAAAGTTTCTTGAAATTGTATCAAATGCAAGATCCATCTAACTGAGACATAGTGGCAACGTTTGTTTCAATGTGAGCCATTGTTTTGTTTCATTTAACGGATATGCTGATGATGGAGATGTCATCGTAGGGTTTGTCAGTCTTGGCATTAGTTTTGGCGTTGCTGATGTTTTGTACAACCTCCATTCCCTTCACAACACGACCAAACACTGTATGTTTGTTGTCCAGCCACGGCTAGAACAGACACATTTTGGTTAAAAAGTGTGTTACCATTGTTAGGATAAATTGTATTGTAACTTAAGTCTATAGATACCTACTATTCTTGTTTGTTTAAGTATTTTTTTTTTTTTTGTTTTATTTGGTTGTCACTTATAGCTCAGTTGACATTCTTGTAAATAGTTTGACATATCAGGGGAATAATTTACACTAACACAATCGTAATAGATTGAAACACTTACTAAACAGCTGATTGTTCCATTAGCAAAATTTAAAACAATTAGACGTCGTTTTGAGAAGTTTTGTTACTTGGAAAGTACTTTTGTTTAGTAACTTACTTTGCTTTTTGGTACAACATGACAAAAAATATAGTTTATCACACAGGCAAAAAGTTCTAAACTCTCTCTAATTTTCCTAGCTTTGGTTGAAAAGAGTCACTTTATGCTCTAGTGATGCAATAAAGTACATTTCATTTCATTACAGTGTTCCCTTACAATTTTTGGCCGAATTTCTTGTAGATTCAGTAGATATTTAAGAATGAGCAGTATTGTAATGGAATAAAGACTTTGGCTTAGTTTATATATAGAGTATATTTTTAAAGAGTTAGGAATTTTGGGCTGGCATTCAGGTTGTTGGTGGCCTGTCAACCAAGGAAGGATTGTTTATGAGCTAAAGATCTTACCTTTAATCTTTAACTTTTGAACTAGACATTTCATCCCCATGGTAAAGTTATTGCTAGTTATAGAATCAAATTAAAATTGTTAAATTGAAAAGTGTGTGCTAATGTAAAATACCGTACTGATTTCTTTTAAATGCAACAACATTTTAACCACTTCAAACTGCTAACAGTTGATCAATGTGCAATCAGCTGTGGAATGTCTACAACAGTATCTAAAAGTGAATGCTTGGATACCATGGGAGCGTGGACGCACTACAGACAAAACTACTACTCACCGTAGGTATGACAGTGATGAAGAACTGGCTGCCGTTAGTGTTCGGCCCAGCATTGGCCATGCTGACTGTGTACGGCCGATCATGCCTCAGGTTGGGTCGTAACTCGTCTTCAAACTCTCCGCCCCATATACTCTCTCCGCCTGCTCCCGTACCTGACATACAATAAGCATGTTACTAGCATCTTCAATTTGTCAGTACGACTCAACACAAATCATTAGAAAGATAAATCTGTACTTTACAGCTGTTTGCTAGAGTACCAAACTTCATTCTTTGGGTTTGTTCATGTCAGGGCTGCGATTAGTGATACAGATACAGTTATAATTTTACCAATGCGTAGATAATACAGACATGCTTTCTAATGGGCCTGTTTACTTACGTCTGAGCTGCGCTGTTATTCATTCTTAGATCCCGCCCATCGATAAGAGCAGCGATAATAGCTAAGTCCTTTTTCTGAGCTAGTAATGAGACTCCATACATGAATCTTGACAGTTTAATATCACAAATTTTTATGGGATCAGAGATCAGAATTACGGAAAAAGTGTGATACAAATCACCACAATAGATCTGTGTTAGACAAGTTGTGGGTTAAAATTGCTCAAGTATTGATCACTATTATTGATAAGGTGTGCATGATTTTTTTAAAATTTTAATAAATAATCCTAACTGCAATAGATGCTAAAAATTAAATATTCTTCAGAATCACTCTTCACAAACTCCTTTTTAACAAAACAAGAACTCACGAATCAAAATTCAGCGTGACTGTTGCGGCTCAGGCATGAACAGACGATAGAAACAGAGCGCTACTCCCTACTAGCATCATCTCTGCTTTCATCATTGCTACGATCGTTTATTGTAGCTCCGAGATGAGCTCTACACCATTATACACGGAGTAGACTTCCCATCCGATGTAAAAATTTGAAGCCAAGAAAATAGAAGGAGTTCAGGACCATCTCACCAGAAGGTACTAGTGTATTGGATTAAATATTAATCGACATCCACGCCAACAGCTGATTGATTTATTACTTGACACAGAATATTGTGAGTTGGTAGACCATCTCAACAGATGGCACCATATTTTTTGTTCCAAAATTTACATTTGATGGGAAGTCTACTCTGTGTATAGTAGATGGTAAAACCAAACCCTAACTAAACTAGTTCTGGCCAACGCTTTACATTCACTAAAGCCACATCGACTTCTGAGTACGACCATGTCACATGGAGAAACTTATAGCAATGACGTTTTGGCCTCGCTACAGCCTCAGAACAGTTCACTGCAACAATTTTCTGGGGCTCCTCGCTGTCGTACTCAGGAGACCGTTTAACGTTAATGTTAGTGACCGTAGAAGCTTTATCTCCTACGCTTTACATTTACATACCAGTGGGATCTCCCGTCTGAATCATGAAGCCTTTGATGACTCTGTGAAAGATGTGTCCGTTGTAGTAGCCGTTCTTGCTATGCACACAGAAGTTCTCTACGGCTCGAGGACACTCCTTGAACAGACTGATGTGGATATCTCCCAGCGACGTGTGTACGATGGCACTGTCATACAGCCTCTGGATACCTGCAATAAGTAATGCATAGTCATTTTTTACCCCCTTTTATTTCTTTAGGTTCTCGCCTAGAATCGTTATCCACATTACTTCAGGCTAAACCTATCCTTTTTCATTAATATGAATTCACAGAATTAGCGGGATTTGAACCCGGGACCTCGAGAACTGAAGTTTCGCGCTGTACTACTAGACCAGCTCGCTTTCCCATGCTTTGTATCATGAGTTGATTAAAAAAAGATAATTTGAGCCCTGTTTGACAAGATTGTACATAGTGGTAGTAAAGGTCACTTCTCAATGATTATTATTGGATTTTTCTAAACCTTAACTGCCTTCCACTATAGTCTAATATATTACGTTGCAATACACAGGTCACAAACCAAGAAAATGGTAACTTACTTGACGCTTCTGTCGCAGAAATTATGTCTTCTTTTGAAGGTTTCTTGTTGAAGACATCTCGGTCAGCCTCAGCACTCTTCGTGTCTTCAGGCTCCCTCCTGGCAAGTAGAAGAATACAAAAATAAGTAAATAAAGTTGTCAAAAGGAAAAACATTTAACTTATCAAATAGATTGGAAATGAGCTGTTTGACAGCAATCAAAGCTGTTTATTCAGATTGTACTAGTCAACTAAGCAACATTTCTGCATACAGTTCAACTATTCATAACAGATAAATGAAAAGATATTAAATATTAAATTCGGCTTGTAGAAATCAAAATCATAACTGAACAAACAGATAATCTGAATTGAGGCGAGTGTGTTACCTAGTGAACATGTAGAATCTGTTCTTTTTGAAGGCAGTGCAGAAGATGGTAGGATCAGGATTGAGCGAATCCAAAGTAGGGTTTTCAGACGCTTCCAACTCAACAGTTACAGCAGCTTTGGACTTCTTTGGCTTTCCCTGTACAAAAGAGTTACTGAATTTCCCATATCCCTATACAAGCTAAAGCTATTAACGTAGGTCTCGTGGTAAGACCTAGATCCGGGACCAATTAAATCTTTTGTTTTCATGCCCTTAGAGCCCAAAAAATCAGCCCGTGCAAATTCCTATGCATTTTGAAATTTGGTACAAATGCACAATGAAAATCCAAGTAGACAAACGGAAATTCTACAGATTTTCTCCGGCAGGTGTACTGTTTAAATTGTAAAGGCAAACTGTTAACTGTGATTACCTGGAATAAAGATATCTTGAGAATTCTAAGGTTCTCCGGTTTGCCAAGGAATCGGACACATCTGTTTGTATACCAATTGACCACTTTGACTCCCAGCATGGTGGGGTAGAGTAACAGGTAGCCGCTCTCGTCAAACACCAGATTGCTGAGTCTTAGACTGTCAGACTTGTCTAGGTCTCTCTCAACAGCCATCCTGTTGAGACAAGATCCAAAAATTAGACATTAAAAGGTCTGAGACACTTTCATCCATGTCTCTCTGTGTGCATAGGCATGTGCGTAGAACATATCCAGAAAAGCAAGGTGTGAGCCGGTACAGTACAAGGGTGAAGCTGCCTTGGGCCCGAAGTCTGTGGCACTCCCGGATGAGCCACCGACACACCCACTTTTCACCCTAAAAGGGTTCTCCTAGATCTAGCAAATTTGGCTGCGTTTTTGGTAGCGACTCTTTACACAAGATTTAGGTACATAATTTTTCTAGCTTCTGAATTCAGCAGGGTCTGTATTGCAAATATTAAGTTACTAAAACATTCACTCGACATTGTAAAACTGTGTTAAAGTTTCCTATAGAAATTTCTGCGAAATCCCACAAATTTCTCATCCAAAAACTTAGCAATCCAGATTTCTCAGTGAATCTGGAAATAATCTTCATGTAAGTTCCAAAGAATTCTATAGTTATATGACACTAAGAGACCCTGGTGGCAAAACTACATCACTCAATAGGTGCACTAGTTACATAGTACATTTCCTTTGCCGTTTGAACCTACAAAGATACTTGCAGACATGAAGACCAAGACATTTGAGTCACAAGTACCAGACGACCAGAGCGCTAGTCGTTACGGCCATCAGCATCAAGCATAACCATAACTTTTTGTAAGTAAGCCAAAATGTAAACACGACAAGCAATTTACCTTCTTCCGAATTCCATGTTTGGTAGTTGCTGTTTTTTCTGCTGCAGCTCGGAGAACCTTTGTAGTGATTCGTCAAACACTCGAGTCAGTTTTCCCGTGAGGAAGTTGAATACTCTAACCTGTAAAGTTTTAACCTGAATTATTACCTTTTTGTTTTTGGATAGCGATGTCAAGAATGAAGTTTTAGCTAATAATGTTTTCTTAGAATTGTGTGAACCACTTTTTCGCTTCTTGAACTTTTTTTTTACAAACTTGACAAGCGACCGTTAGTCTTTTAGCCGATTTATAACAGACCTATTAGACCGAGGAGCAAGTTGATAAGTTGGTATGGATACAACTTTCAGAGGAGAGTGTCAGAAAACGTGGACGGCAAGATCTGAATCATGAACGACTTTTCTGCTTTAATTCTTGGGTAATTTCATACAGAAGAAGTTTAAAACAAAAACCAACAAAATACAGCTCAACTATTCAAGATTATATTTACCTTACAGTAGAACTAACAAAGCTTTACGATATAAACTTTACCTTACGATCAAAAGACATAGTGGCGAATTTTGTTCCGTCAGGTGAAAAACACAATCCAAAAGGAATAGTTTTGTGTTTTACAAACTCGAAAAGATCGGTGTCCAGTTTTGATTCGAATTTGGCACATTTTGGAAACTTGTAGTCTTGTCTGACTCCGCCCCAATACTCTAGGATGCCAGCCGAGTCTACGGAGACTGACACATCAAACACTGGGTTGTACTGCAACAGAAAAAACAATTACAGTAGAACCTCAACAAAAAATATATCACGAGGATTATCAAATAAGACTAGTTATCAAGGTTCACTTCTAATTGAGGACTGAGGATTGCAATAGCATGTGATAATACAAAATCAAGGGTATTTGAAAATGAAACTTGTTATTTATGGTGACTTGTTATCGAAGGTCTTATCTAAGTGGTTTAAGTTACCTGGCTTTGTTTGGAACCTTATCGAGGTTGTCTTCTTATCGAGGTTCCACTGAGTAAAAAAAGCTTATAAAGTCTGCAATAATCACAGCCAACGCTATAGTATTATCCTTTATATCTAGTAATGTATCAAAAGTCAAAACCTAATTTCAATTCCCAAATTACCTTAACTTTGAAAAAAGTTTCTGTTTCAAGATTCTATTGGTGAGTTTTGGGATTAAATACTTTGAAATGGAGTTTAATTTAATTTAAAAGTGTTTGTTATTTACCAAAAAGTAATGTTTTTACGTTTAAAGTGAATCTGTCACACAATCATGTTATTTTGATCCAGTCGGGAGTCCAATTTCATTCAGTTTTGATTGCATAGAAAAAATTGTATTATTACCAGCATTTATTTGTGTGCCCTAACCTTAACCATGCAAGCAAATGCGTTTCACATTTCTGTTATTTGAGAATCAAAATTTCTGGTCTTGTTCATCAATATGGCTAAAGCGATCTCGGTGCTGCAGGCCCACAACATAAGACTTCTTGAATGGTAACAACAACAACCAAAAATGAGGCCTGGAAGCCATAAATTAAAAGATGTAACATAGAAAAAATTACTTATGATATTTTTTCAGTTTGAATGGCTAAATAATTAATACCTTCATCTGAAATTACCTTCATTATTGACACAGGCTTCACATGGAGTTTGTCCAAAATTTTGAGTGCTTCGTTGGTTCCTCTGCCGTCAAATATGTGTATTGCACTGCTATCTGTATCTCCTCTACAATTAGCAAAGACAAGTTAGTTTATTACAGTTAAAAAAATATTATTGTGCTATATGTTGTGTTATTTGACAAGTATATTTTGTAACAAAACAATGATGACTCCCCCAGAATTTATGAATTATAATTATAAAAGTGTCCCAAAATTTTGGATTTTGGTATAACAAAAGTGTCCCACAAACCTTAAGTTTACTATTGATTATACTTGTTGCAAATTGGAAGAAAGTCTTTTGTAATTTGCAGTAGCTAAATAAACAGGGTGTTAAAATTTTAAAGCATTTAGTGGTAGTGATTCTAAATACTTATAAAGTATTCACTGATTTTAAAGATAGGTATTCTTAATTTTTACTCTCACCATCAAGTCTACATTGAAGGATTTAACGTCCATGATTCTTGGCTGTTTCAATTGAAAAACAAAACTTAACACTACATATTTTTGTTAAGGGGTTAGGTTTGCGGCTTTTTTTACCTTGCATTTGCCCGTCCACATGGGCCACAGAGGCTTGTGCCTGGAACGTATCCAGCAAAGCAAGGGGTGAGCCGGTACGGTGCATGGGTGAACTCTACTGATAAAAAGTAGCGGCAGATACAAAGATCCAAACCAACGACATCACTGCCTTGGGTCTGAAGTCTGTTGCACAACTGACTGAGCCACCGAGTCATCAAATTCTTTGTATTATTACCAGCTTTATTTAAATGGTGTAGTGGTAAGCCATAAAAACATAGAAGCCACATTAAACACACAAATATGGCCTAAATGTATTTCTTCTAAGGTAAGCTATCAGCTGTCCCCCTTTATTCTACAATTCAAAATCCTGGCCTAGAGCCTTTCCTTGAACAAAACCAGTTAATTAATTGTTCATGTTTAACCGACCAAAGACGTAATTAGAACAATACAGATCATTTTATGGTAATATTATAACAATTATGATTAAAGTCTACTCACATTGCCAATGCAGGGATTGCATCTCCCAAGCCGTGTATCCACTCGGCACAGCGCGGCACAAAGTTGAGTTTCATCATGTTGATCATATCTGTAATTATACACAGGTAAGTAATCGTTGAACTTCATTGGTTACCTCCATCTATCGCCTTTAACCTCTAACCTAAAATAATAAAACTCTTTTAACCTAAATTACTCAGAAGAGCATAAATCTAAGGAAATTTGTCGAGGCTGACTCTAGAATTTTTATATGCTGCTAAATAAAACGTATTCTACTTTTTGAGCTTAGAGTACAAGTCCATCCAACTAAAAACGGATAAATTAAGCAATTTACAAAAATATGTTCAACTATCATCATACATCAACTCACCAAAGTTGACAACATCAAACACTTTGACACTCTTGTCGTTGGACACGGTGCACAGCAGCGTCCCGTTGTAGTTAGCTGTCATGTCTACGATGGCTCCGAGATGGGCTCGGAAATGTTTCACAAACTCTATCAGCTCTTCCATCTTCTTCCAGAACTTGACATGGCCGTCACAGCTGCCGGTTATAATGAACTCTGTTCTGTAATTATTTATGATAATTGAACATACAGCCATCAATGAAAGTACTTCTTTAGTGTAGAACTTAATCCAATGTAACTTTATCAATTTGGGAGCATTGGCACCTAAAAATATAAAAAACAGTTATGTTGATAAGGCAGGGTAAATGGGCCAAAATCGACATTGCCATCTCAAAAAGTAAACTATCATCGATTTGACATCTGTATGGAATTAGCTCAATCCAGAAGAATCAGAATCAGAATATTTTATTGTCATAGTCAAAGAAAGAAAAAATTATTAAAAAAAGGCCCTAATATTAGCAAAAATTATGAAAGACGGCGAATCCTTAAGATAGCAGTTTATAACAATTACGGCTAAGCTATAAATGTAATTGTTTGCTTTTGAGGAAATAAATTCATTATTAATTCATTATTCATGTGCCACCATAATTTTAACTATAGGCTGCCTTACTGAACAGAAGATTTTAGCACAAAAGAATTCAGCACATGACTAAAGGAATTTATTTTTAGAAGCAGATTATGTTATTTTTTAACACGTTCCCTGTGGGTACTGACTCGACCGCGTGAGGGTTGCGATCGTCGTGGGTCAGTACTGACCAAAACCCAGGTTGGTAATAAATTTCCCCATCAAATTCCTGTCTGGCAAGCTTAGAAATCAACTTGTTGTCCTTTCTCTCTCCCTCCAATTGGCAATACAATGAGACCGGCTGGTTCCAGACAGTGCTGCTATCTGTGGGTGTTTTAGCAAACTACATTGACTCTCGTCGTAATGCAGCACATCAACCCACGTTATTTAATATTCCTCAGACCGAAATTTAAAAGCCAATAACCCGGTAAACGGTTTGTTCGACGCTGTGCCGCACCAGGGATACGCTCGCCATTGATGGGCCGCAGCGAACGTGTTAAATTACAAAACAGTACTGACAAAATGTTTGCAAAATTAGCCTATGTTTAGATGCATTGTGAAAAATATAGACGGTTTCAAACTGTTTTCAATAAGTTTACCTTAAGGATGAACAAGATTACCTCGCAATTGGTGGCAAATGCAGACAACGCACATAGGTAGGGCCTAGTATAAATTTTGTGGTTGTGCAAAATTCCCTAATTGTATAGTTACCTACTGAATAGGTGGTTTAATGGACAGAACAAGGCAAAATCGAAACAGTTGGTGGTTTGTAAGCTACTTTGATAACATACATAACGCCTTTGACTATCAATACAACTTCAGTATCCAATAATCAATGATAGCGCTCTATGCAAATCTTTTCTAAGAAACTCACTTGGTGGCGGCAACATGTGTTACGACATCCCTGTGCATGAAGCTTTTCTCGTACGACTCAGCGTTAGGCAAGTTGTCCAGATACAGTTTCTCATACTGAAGCACTGAAACACAATTTAAAACAAAATTTATTCAATTGTTTGAGCACTAATTTATAACCCTTTAATCTTAAAAACTAACAGTCTCGTACATTTAACACAAACTTACCGTTTTTAAAGCCTAATTGTATACAGTAGACCTAAAAATAGAATACTACCTTATTTATTTTCGAATTTCATTTTTTTTTTTTAAGTAGGCCTATTTAGTAAAAACTAGCAATTTATTTCACATTTTGGTGTTCTTAGCTTACAAAAAATAATACAACTAAGTACATTGTAAAGTAAATTGACTGTTTACATACCCCTCAGCTCACCCACGACTTTGGTGTCTTTGGTACAATCGTAATAAGGATCAATTATGGGCTATTAATAAATATCTTTTTTAGTCTCCATACCAATAAGTTACTTACCTTTCCTTTTTTTAGGAGGGGCAGCTTCTGATGGTGAAGGTCCAATCCACCCATCATCTGAATGGTCTGAATCACTTCCCTCATGATCTCGTTTTGATGAATCGGCCATTGGCTAAGACAATTTCTGTAAACAAAAGGTATCATGCTTCGACGGTTGTCGAGTAGGCATTAGTCAACTGCTAACAAGTAAAATGCTGTATTTATTTATTTATCTCCCAACGGTTTACAACAGATTACAAAAAAACGGATACAATGTTAATAAGATGGATAAATATTCATACAACAGTACTTAAAGTGGTTACAGCAATAACTTAATAAAATGAATAATTAATATGTAATAAATTAGTAAATAACTTACTACCTAAGTTATCTACCACAATAACAATAAGTTACTTGAATTACAATAAAAAGAGCAACAATAACTTAACAAAAGTAGCAAGGAATAACCATAACAAAGTTCTGTAAACCTATGAAAATTATTGTTGGACCCACTAAGTTAAACCTAAACAACGATTTATACATAGATTGTAAGTTAATAGTATCTAGGCTATAACTTTAAAGCCTGGTTTACACGGGTAGAGTTGTCGGTAGTATTTATATATAGTGCAAGCATTTTTGAAAAAGTAGTTTTAAGTGTTTTTCTCAGGATTTTAATTTTACAAAAACAGTCTGCAGGCAACATAAACTAACAACTCGATACATTATAACCTAAACTTTACCTTCCTAATCTAACCTAACTTCAAAACACTTATAATGCAGTCACCAATTCACATACAGCACGACCTACCACCCTGACATGCCTAAATAAGAACTACATGTAATTAGTCCACCAGTCAATCTATATCTCCATAATGTGACGAAATTCGTATTAGGCCTATAGAGAACATTTGACTACAGAATCACTTGAAATGTTATCCATCCTATCTTGTTTATTGTAATGTTAAGTATGTTTCTACGGCGATATCTTGAGAAATATTCATCAGCGGTGAAAAATAATGGTATATTTGGATTCAGGAGGTAAAAAACTATAAAGTAAGATATCAAAATTAAAAATTCGTTTGGAGTCACCTATACGGAATAAATACCCTTTTACTAAGTTAACTAAGTTAGGCCTAGGCCTACAGTTTGCGCTAACTTAAAATGCAAAAAATGAGCTAATAATTATAAAAATAAAGTGAACCGAAGATCCTAACTTTGGCACAGCAATTTGTGCAGGCTTAAGTTAAACCGGTCATTTTCGGCACTCTGCGATTTTAAACGATTTTCAAACCTAATTTTTTGAATTGCTTCAGTAAGTTATTTGACAGAATAAAAGTGCCGGAAAAAGTCCTTGCTGAGGTTTCTTTTTTTTTTGCTTAATTTAGGTCTAAAGTCTAGCCCTATCAAAGCAAAAAACCACAAAAAAATTTAGGCTTTCAACACTGCATAGGCTAAGTTAATATGGATGAGCAACAAACTAACCTACGAGGAACATAAATATCCATCATATGCAGGCAGAGGTTAAAAATATAACTTCAGGAATCCAGTTTGGCAGAGACCTAGGCCTAGCCTATCTCATAACGATTCGCAAATTAGCCTAGGCTATTATTATTTTGTATCAAAGTAACATAAGGTCTAAAAATCAGAGTAACAGCCTTAGTTTACAAACCTCTAGTTGAGGAATAACCCTGAGAGTGAGAGATTATGTACGTTTATGGAAATTAAAAATTTATATAATTATTTACTACGACAATGGGTTACACAGCACAAATCACAAGCACATAGGTTAGGTTTCAATTTCAACCAACACAAACAAACAAACAAAATAAAAAAATAATGAACAAAGATGACGCCAAACATGACGCCCACCAACAAAAAAACAGACAACGAACAAAGACAAAAACAAACGATAACCAAAACCAACAAACTAACATTTTATTGTTCTTAGAGTCTTTGACTTTATGTCAACCAAGACCCCATGATGTTTAATGGTTTTTAATAAAGAAATAAATAAAACATGTTTATAGATATAATACAAAATACAAATGTTCCCACACACTGCTCTTCTAGCCTTTACTACTTCCTTCACCATTCCCAACTTTTGGACCTGTTTCCTTCCCTTCCCGTCGAATTTTAGGACTGCATAGAATGAGAATGAGAATTTTATTTGGTCTTTTAAACATGCAGTTGCATGCAATCAGATAAGTCATTTATAATAATCTGGCAACAATCAGTTAGGCTAACAGTCCCAGTTAGTAAACTGGGTTGACTTAACTTAAATCGCACAATGCACAAAAACAGGCAAATATAATAAATAAATAAATAGTTAAATAATGGCAACTACAATAGTAGAATAAATAGTGCACAAACTACTCTTATCTACTTTCAAAAAACACACCATATACATTAATCGAACTGCCACAGACGGTTCCCACACTCCATACTGTTCACCGCTAGTCCGCTACTTCCTTCACCACTTCCTACGTCTTGGACCTGTTTTCCTCCCTTCCCATAGCATTTTAGGATTGCAGATACATTAATATAACTGCTACAGACGGTCCACACACACTCCGGACTGTTTGACTTTACTACTTCCTTCACCACTTCTTACGTTTTGGACCTGTTTCCCTCCCTTCCCATAACATTTTAGTATTGCAGATACATTAATGTAACTGCCATAAAGCGTTCCCACACTCCACACTGCTAGCATTGAACAAATAACACTAGTGTATCCCATTGTAGATATATCAAATATTTGCCAGTCAATGCTGCTAGCCTTTACTACTTCATTCACCACTTCCTACGTCATGGACTATACTTGTGGGTGTTCGCCTCCACTGTCCTTAAGAAAGGGGGCTCGTCCGGATTTATTTCTTCACATCATCTTTAGTCATAAACATCCTCAAAGTTTATATGGACCAGTTTTCCTCCCTTCCCATAGCATTGTAATACTTAAGAGGGGACAGCTCACTTACTCTACAGATCATAGACTATACGAGCTTTGTAAATAATATTGAAGGTTCACTTGCACTACAGGCTCGTATACTATACGAGCCTATCGAAAATAAAAAATAAATGAAGAGGGTTCACTTACTCTACAAATCATTGTGCCTATGAGCCTCGTGTATTATATTTAAAAATACAGTAGGAAGGTTCGCTTACTCTACAGATCATAGTGACTATGAGCCAAGCTTACGAATTATTTGATAATTCAGGAATCGGCTCGTATAGTATACGAGCCAAAATAATGAATAATATAAATTATAGGAATAGGCTCGTATACTATACGAGCCTGCAGAAAAATATTAGATGGCTCACTTACTCTACAGTTCATTGGCACTATGATCCGTAGAGTAAGTGAACCCTCTTCAAAATATTAGATGGCTCACTTACTCTACGGCTCATTTAGCTACTCGTTGCGCGGTTTGCGTTCGTGAAACTCTAGGCGCTATGCCCGGCTTCGACTGCTGCGACTGCCTACATAAGTGTATTGCATCACCTCAATTATTTATTAAAACGAAATAAATATGTATGCACAAGTAAATTTATTACATTTTTGGACTGAATACTTTAAAAATGGAGGGAGCATGACTTTTATGTTTAATTAAATTAAACGTTATAGAATAAAACATATTTTGACTAATATCAGGTTATATAATACACACTTGTATGATCCAGATACAGAGCTACAGACAAAACCTGTGGTCCGATTTAGATTAAATTTTGTATCTGGATTTATCCACGAGTCACTAATTTTTTAAGCACGGGTTGAGAAATAATGGCAAAAATTTATAAAAACAGTTCACCAGTTTAGAATATTTCTCAGTTACTGTGAGTTGCAAAAAAAAGTGTATACAGAAGCATTTGTGTACACAGAAAATATAGAGGACTAGATGTATACAGAAGATATATCTATCTATCTATATATTAATCTATATATTAATAGGCAAGCATGTTTCTTTAAAACCTTTTTTCTCAGCTCGTGTGTATCGTAGGGAAAATCTACGCATACCGTTAGAAAGCTATTTTCCTGTAGGTGTGCAGAATCCCTTTATAAATTAAAATAGGCTCAAAAATAAGCACAACAAATGAATTTGAAATTTTAAAAAATTAACATGGGTCTTATGGGTTGCTATGGTGATGACGAAATAACAACAAAATATAAACAGAAAATCAAAACAAATGGAAGACATTCCAATCACATGTTTTATTTACAGTGTGGGGTGAAAATAGAGAAAAGTTTGCACAAAAAAATACTTTTGGTCGATTTTTCGACCACGGGGCGTGCTCTCGTTAAAATTCAATACGCACACAACTATCAACGTTTACATATGTAAAATTAATGAATTTGTTGTATTGAGTATTTTTAACATTATGACGAAGCCTTAACAAAATATATATATTTTTTTAAGGAGTTCTAGGGTGTTAAACTATATTGTATTTATCTTTTGTGGAAGATTCTGTCCACTATTTATGATTGCTAACAATTTAATACAAAGATTTCAGTCTCTGTACGTGAAGACTAAAAAAACGAAACAAACTTTAAAGTGATAGAAAAGATTTGATCAGGAGCTGGCGTTTGATACCTTTTGGGAATAAATATAGCCTCTACTTCAAAGGTATACATGGTGAGGTAGCCTCTGGAAGTCCATCTTCAGAAAACGTCAATAGGTCATCTAACCTTTGGTTAGATGACCTATTGACGTTTTCTGGAGATGGACTTATTTTCAAGTCTGAAACTATAGTAGTGTAATACTGAAGAAGGATCACTTGACGAAGCCAGGTAACTTAAACCATTTAGCTTAAAGTTATACAAGTTGGTTTCACACCAACATTTCATCTATATATATAAAATCCAATGTATGTTTGTATGTTTGTATGTTTGTATATTTGTATGTTTGTCCTTTATGGACTCCAAAACAGCTCGACAGATTGTAATGAAACTTTCAGGCATTATTAAGCATTATTCAAGGATGGTTTGTGTGAAGTTTGGTGCAGATCCGTCAATAGGGCTCCGCCCCAGTGGCTCTGGAGTTTCCCATGTTAACCTTATGAGTACTCATATGTAAATGGAATTAAAGAATCTTAACAGCTGGTGCAGCTAAACAATTTGATTCTGTGATGTTCAATAGCATTAAAAAGTTAATAGGTTTACCAACAGGGTGCAGCACTATATTTATTTTTAATTTATGAGAACAGCTAATTTGCAACCAAAAGGTGAGTGAGCGTAGCGAACGAACTTCAACCTGTAGGCGAGTTAGCGTAGCGAACGAGCTAACCTGAAGGCAAGTGAGCGCAGCGAACGAGCTCCAACCTAAAGGTGAGTGAGCGTAGCGAACGAACTTCAACCAGGACGTGATTGAGCCATGCGAACGAGCTCATCTTGAAAATGAACGAGCATGTGACATAAAACCACAATAGGACAGGACGACGTCTGTCGGGCTAGCTAGTGCACATATGAAATCTACATAATTAATACGCGAACACGAAGTTTGTCGGTTGAATCCTCCACCATTTCTTAACCGATTTTATCCACTGACGTCTCATTGGAAAGAGCGTGTTGCGTAGATTTGCAAACTGGCCTAAAATTTTTGAAAAAGTCCCTTGGCCTCTGCCACAGTGGCTCTTTAAGTTCCCATGTTATCCTTACGAAGAACATAATATTGTTTACATCAGCTGTTTAATTTAATTGTGTTCTTTGTTTTTCAATTCAACGAAACTCATTGGTTACATTAACTGATTTTGTGGAAATTAAATATCTATCTATATATTAATTACGAAAGCCGATTCTTTGCGTCAAAATTGTGGGCGACTGGGTAGTCGTAGAACGACGGGAGAGGGTTCAAATTAAAGGTCTCGATCCCGGGAAAATAGTGAAATCCTCCAAATTTTAACACAAAATTAGATATGACCTTTGACTTAGTCAATAATATAACGTAAAATGTTCTCCATAAGAATAGCATTAGAAGCCATTTGTCTGTTGATTTTTGTTTACCTCAATACAGCTGATCGTGATTTATCATTAAGCCAGTAAGCAATATTACATTTGGATTTAACTCATTTGCCAGTAAATTCTGCAATGTACTGTATACTATACAGGGTGGTAAAAAAGTCCCTGGACAGTTAAATATTAAAAGAAATAATGCAGATAGAGCTACAATACTTGGTACAAAGTTACAGGGCATAAAACTATATTTTAACACATATTCAGTGATCCAATAACTCTTCAGGGGGACGGCCCACAAGGAGTTGGAAGAAAATCTTAAATGGAAGCATAGGTTAATATGCACACCAAATTAAAGGTCTTCTTTAGTAGAATACAATGCCGTAAACCGCACTTCAAAAGGTTGATCCTGCGCAAAATGGCAGATGTTCAAAGATTTCTTGAATCCGCCATTTTGAATCTTTGAACGACTGCCATTTTTTACTCAGGCATTCTTTTGAGCTTGAATTTACGGCATCGTAATCTACTAGTGAAGACCTTTAATTTGATGTGCATATCGACCTATGCTTACGTTAACAATTTTCTTCCGATTCCTAGGGCTGTGCCCCCTGAGGATAAAGCGTATAATAGCAATGTAAATTAAATGAATCTTTGAACAACTGTCATTTGTGCAGGGTCAACCTTTTGAAGTGCGGTTTGTGACATTGTATTCTACTAAAAAAGACCTTTAATTTGATGTGCATATTGAGCTATGCTTCCATTTAAGATTTTCTTCCGACTCCTTGTGGGCCGTCCCCCTGAAGAGTTATTGGATCACTGAATATGTGTTAAAATAGAG